CCGTGCCCCACGGCAACGACATCGCCTCCCTCTTCGAGCTGGACCCTACCACGCTGCAGAAGACAGACTCCTTCGTCCCACGGTACGTGAGCACGCGTTGCCGGGGAGGGATTGAAACAAAGAAGGGAGCTTTAATTGCGTGGTGTGAAATTGTGGCAAGTCTGTTCTTGGGCGCCGAGGGAAATGGGTGCTGGTGTGTCTGCAGGAATTCCTACGTGAGGCTGCGCCACCTCTGCACCCACACCTGGATCCAGAGCACCAACGTGCCCATCGACATCGATGAGGAGAGGCCCATTCGCCTCATGGTACGGCCCGCTCCCCGCTCCCGCCTGTGGATTTCTCCCCTGTGCCCCATAGCCCTTAGCACGCTCCTTCCCACCCAGCGCCCAGCCTTGCCCCAGGGACCGCGTACCCTGATGATCCAAGCGGGTGGCTGGACCCCAGCCTAGAGCCCATCCCAGTAACCTCGAGCCCACCCCAGCCCTTCCGACGGGCACAAACCGGGTCACTGACTCCAGCCGGGTTGGTGGCAGATGGTGGGGATGCGCTTGGTGCTGCCCTGACTCCGTGGTGCCGCTTCCCTCTTGCTTCTCAGCTGGGCACATGCCCCACCAAAGAAGACAAAGAAGCTTTCGCCATCGTCTCTGTGCCCGTGTCTGAGATCCGGGACCTCGACTTTGCTAACGATGCCAGCTCGATGCTGGCCAACGTGGTGGAGAAGATGAATGAAGGTTTTCTCAGCCAGAATGACCGGAGGTAAAAAGTCATTTTCCCTGGGAGATGGGGCTGTACTGGGCTCCTCCAAGGGCTCTCCAGCATCGCTGCAGGATGGGGCCCCTGCCTGGGTCCTGGTGCCAGCGCTGTCTTGCTTTCCTGCCCACAACCCAAATCCACGCCTGCTTCTCCCAGGAGCCTGGCGAGGAAACCAGATAACGCCGCGGCCCCGATCCGGCCCCTCCTTTGCCGCTAGAAAAATATCCGAGGGGCTGAGAGATGGCCCCACGATAGGGGCAGCCGGGTTAGTCACGGTGTTATTTTTAGGTGGGTGGGTTCTTGGTGCTTCCTGAGCAAACACAGATCCCCCGTGGGACAGACCGAGCCGCGTCCGCCCTGCCAGCCTGCCCCGTGCGGGTCTCACGGAGGTGACTAAGGGGGCAGAGGCGTTAAGTGCAAAATCCCTGGCATGAGTCACGAGCAGAGGCCCCGGCATTTACCCTGGCACATATAGTTTCCTTAGGAGCCGTAGGGGCTGTAAAACCTCTTGCTTCAGGGCAGCCATTACCCTCTGGCAGGGAGGGGAGGATGGGCCAGCAGCTTCCCTGGCAGTGCTCTGAGCCCTGAACGTGGGCTCTCTGGTCCTCCAAAATGCGCCGGCATCATTGCAGGCACCTGAGTCAGGGTGGGCTGCGTGGGGCTGGCGGGCGAGCAGCCCCCCAGCTCACTTGCACCGTGCCCCTTTGCAGGTTCGTGATCCAGCTGCTGGAGGACTTGGTGTTTTTCGTCAGCGACGTCCCCAACAATGGCCAGAACGTGCTGGACATCGTGGTGACCAAGCCCAACCGGGAGCGGCAGAAGCTGATGCGGGAGCAGAACATCCTGAAGCAGGTGAGTGGCCCCGGAGCCCTGCATCCGAGCAAGGCTGAGGTCCTGCGGAGATGTCCTGTGCTGCCCAGGGCCACGCTGGTGTCCAGGGATCTGGACACCCCCATGGAGGAGGAGTGGCTGGGCTCCAGCTCCTGTCCTGGGGGTGCACCAAGCCCTCCTGGCAAGCACAGCTGGTGTCCAGCCATGCGTGGGGGTGGTGGTGCAGAGAGGGACACAGCACTTATCGTCTCTGCCTTTGGGCAGATCTTTGGGATCCTGAAAGCCCCTTTCAAGGACAAGGGTGGGGAAGGGCCCCTGGTGCGGCTGGAAGAACTGTCGGACCAGAAGAACGCTCCCTACCAGTACATGTTTCGGCTGTGCTACCGCGTGCTCCGGCACTCCCAGGAGGACTATCGCAAGAACCAGGTGCGTGGGGGGTGACGGGGGCAGCTCCCATCCCACCATGTGTTGCAAAGCCCTGCAGAGGTCTCGGTGGGGCAGGAGGGCAATGCCAGACCCCGACACCCAGCCCGGTGTGCTCACCGCCTCTCTGCCCGCTCCAGGAGCACATTGCCAAGCAGTTCGGCATGATGCAGTCTCAGATCGGCTACGACATCCTGGCCGAGGACACCATCACGGCCCTGCTGCACAACAACCGCAAGCTGCTGGAGAAGCACATCACGAAGACGGAGGTGGAGACCTTTGTCAGCCTGGTGCGCAAGAACCGCGAGCCACGGTGCGTGTCTGGCCAAGCCCCGTCCCAAAGGGCTTTGCGCTGCGCGATGGGCAGGATGTTTCTCAAGCAGAGGTGGAGAGAGCCCCCGTGGACCCCCCTTTCACAGCGAGCTGTCTCTGCTCTGTAGGTTTTTGGACTACCTCTCGGACCTGTGCGTGTCCAACCACATTGCCATCCCCGTCACCCAGGAGCTGATCTGCAAGTGCGTGCTGGACCCGAAGAACAGTGACATCCTCATCAAAACGGAGTGAGTAGCCAAGGGCAGAAGTTTTCCACGCTTGGGGCTTGGTACCTGGCCCCGCCTGCCACCAGCCCCATGGTGGCCTGGTAAAAGTCCCGTTACCCCTCGAGGTGCAGCTGCTCCCTGTCCACGAGACCATCTCCAGTTCTACCCCTTTTCTGCCCTAGGCTGAGACCGGTGAAGGAGATGTCGCAGACCCACGAGTACCTGAGCATTGAGTACTCAGAGGAGGAGGTCTGGCTCACCTGGACGGACAAGAACAACGACCATCATGAGAAAAGCATCCGGCAGCTGGCGCAGGAGGCCCGGGCTGGCAATGCCCACGATGAGAACGTCCTCAGCTACTACAGGTGGTGATCCCACGGCGTCTTCTCCCCAGGTGAGGACATAAGGGTTGCACATACTCAGTCCCTCTCCCCTTCATCCCTGGGCAGGTACCAGCTGAAGCTCTTTGCCCGCATGTGCCTGGATCGCCAGTACTTGGCCATCAAGGAGATCTCCCAGCAGCTGGGGGTGGACCTGATCTTCCTCTGCATGGCAGATGAGATGCTGCCCTTCGATCTCCGGGCATCCTTCTGCCACCTCATGTTACACGTGCACGTGGACAGGGACCCCCAGGAGCTGGTGATGCCCGTGAAGTTTGCACGGCTCTGGACCGAGATCCCCACGGCCATCACGATCAAAGAGTAAGACATGTTGGGGCTCGCAGCAGCTTTGAGGGGCAGGGCAGGAGGTGGGATGGCAGATGTCATCCTGTGTAGGGACTGGCTTGGCTTTAGCAGGGACTGGGAGGGGGGCATTTGTGGAGTGAATCTGGCAGGTCTCAGCCTTCAGAAGGAAGTGGGCTCCATCACGGTCACGAGCATCACTTCTGGCCATGATGGCTCAGCAGCTGCCTGGACAGCGCTCCTTTCAGGCAGGGTGTGAGGAGACTTGCTGCCATCCAGCTCACCCCCACCATCTCCCCTCACAGCTACGACTCCAACCTCAACGTCTCGCGTGACGACAAGAAGAACAAGTTCGCCAGCACCATGGAGTTCGTGGAGGACTACCTGAACAACGTGGTGAGCGAGGCGGTGCCCTTTGCCAACGAGGAGAAGAACAAGCTCACCTTTGAGGTACGAGTCCCACCGGTGTTAGCGGCATGTCACAGGCTGCAGTGTGGTTTGCCTGCAACTGCCTCTGCAACGAGGGTGGCCACGCTGGCGTCCCTCTCCCCCATATCTGTTCATCCTGCTCGGCCCTGAGCACGGCGAGGTCTGGAGTTGCCTTGTCCTTCCCCAGGTCGTCAGCCTTGCCCACAACCTCATCTACTTCGGCTTCTACAGCTTCAGCGAGCTGCTGCGCCTGACGCGGACTCTGCTGGGCATCATCGACTGTGTCCAAAACCCCCAGCTGATGATGCAAGCGGTCTACAATGATGAGGTGACAGGTGAGTCCCTGCTCCATAACCAGGCATGGTCCTGCAGGGTGGTGTTTTCTGTAGTCTGCCCAGTGCTTTCCAGTTTTGGCTGCAAGAAAACAAGCCCCTGGTTTGCTGACGTGGAAGCTTTGGCTGGGTCTGCACTGGGAGACAGGAGGTGTTGAGTCCTTGGTCATGCCAGAGAAATAGCCAGTCCCTCCTACTCGTTCTCTAATTAATATCTACAGCATTTTCCAGTCTAAGTAGGCCCTTCTGTGGGTCCTCTGCAACCTCCCTTTCCATCCCCATTAATTCTGCCCACTGTGGCTGCCTCTGTAGGGAAGAATGTGCGGAGGTCAATCCAGGGTGTTGGGCAGATGATGTCCACCATGGTGCTGAGCAGGAAACAGTCCATCTTCAGCTCCCCAAGCCTCAGTGCTGGGTCTGCACCAGAGCAAGTGGACAGAGGGAGGAGCATCGAGAACGAGAACATTGTGGTGATGGAGACCAAGCTGAAGATCCTGGAGATCTTGCAGGTTGGAGCTGGTGGGGAGGGAGAAGCATTCTGGAGCTGTGGGTGGGACCTGTGGGATGGGGTGGTGTGGGGATGATGTGGGTTTCTGATGCAGAGAGACAGCTGGCACGAAGAGGGCACTCACTTTTGCTTTCTTCTTCTTCACTGCTGCCAGTTCATCCTGAATGTGCGGCTGGACTACAGGATTTCCTACCTGCTTTCTGTCTTCAAGAAGGAGTTTGTGGAAGTCTACCCCATGCAGGACAGTGCAGCCGATGGGACAGCTCCAGCCTTTGACTCCACAAGTAACTCTTCCACTTTGCTCCTGGTACAGCTTCAACTCAACAAACCCCACGGGCTGGGGACACACGGGTGACGGAGGTGACAGCTCCAGCAGCTCTCCATCCGCCACCGCCGTTAGCTGGGAGCATGGGGGGCTGGAGTTTGCGCAGGAGGGATGAGGTGTCCTGTGTCCATCCTGGACGCTTGGAGCAGGGGCTAGGGAGCTGGGTTGGTTCCTGCGGGGTTTCTGCCAATGCCTGGGGATCGCGCTGGCCGCCCCTTTCACCTCCCTTTCCTCTCCCTTCAGCCGCAGCCATGAACCTGGACCGGATCGGCGAGCATGCAGAAGCCATGTTCGGTGTGGGGTGAGTCCCTGCCCCCTCCGGTGCATAGTTAGCCTGGCCGTAGGGCTCTTCCTCTCCTGTCCGTACTGCCGAGGCTGAAAGCTGCAGGTGATGAGGAAGATGAGGCTCTAAAGGCTAACGCAGCTGTCCCCATCGGCCCCGAGGGGTGACTGAATGCATGCAAGCTCCCACGTGGCTGCTAATACCAAGCGCTTTCGTCCCGGCTTCAGGAAGACGAGCAGCATGTTAGAGGTGGATGACGAGGGAGGGAGGATGTTTCTGCGGGTGCTGATCCACCTGACGATGCACGACTACCCACCGCTCATCTCCGGCTCCCTGCAGCTCCTCTTCAAGCACTTCAGCCAGAGGCAGGAGGTCTTGCACACCTTCAAACAGGTAACACCGCTGGGACGCTGCCCTGGAGCACCTCCAAGACCGCACTCAGCTGTGGGTGCAGGACATGGCATGGGTCCTGGCCCCTTTCCTTGGGGCGGAGGTGCGGATGAGGACGGGAATGCAGTTTGTGCCCCAAACTGGAAACCCCCGGGAATGTCGCTGCAGGTTCAGCTGCTGATCTCAGCCCAGGACGTTGAGAACTACAAGGTGATCAAGTCAGAGCTGGACAAACTGCGTACCATGGTGGAGAAATCAGAGCTCTGGGTGGACAAGAAGGGCAGCAGCAAAGGGGACAGCACGGTGGAGGGGAACAAGAAGGAGAAGAAAGAGGTGAGAGCCCTTAGCGAGACCCTGGGAGCCAGGGCAGGAGGGGAGGGGGGGGCAGAGGTGCAGCTCGCTTCAGTCCAACACCTATCACCTCTCCGTGGCCCTGTGGGGTGTAGTTGTGCCCCAGGCTTTGGAGAGCCGCAGTGGGACCCTGATGCTGTTTCTGTCCCGTTGCAGCACGCTGCTGACGAAGAGGTCATTGCTCCAGGAGAGAAGAGCAGCGAGAACTATCAGATAGTCAAGGGGGTAAGTGAGGCCGAATCCTGGCCCTGGAGGCACGGCCAGCGATATCTGCCTGGCCTGGGCTGGCACGGGTGCCCCAGTGCAAAGGGAAAGGGTGAAATCATGGGAGGCATTTCCAGTCTCTCCTGTGGTTTGGTAGAAATGAGTCCAAACCAGGGCTTGCTCCTGCCAGCTCAGCGTAAGGAGGAACCCTGTTATGTCCCCGGGGCTCATGGTGAGCCTTGCGCTGGTGGGGGCTGGAGGGGAGAGGGTTGGTGATGGGTACGAGGGCTCTGCATGGCACCGCAAGGAGGATTTCTGAGTGGGACGCCAAGATTTGTGAGCAAGGCGCAAAGCTGGATGTGCAGGGAGCACCTGGGCTTATGGAGGGCACATCTGGATTGCAAGCAAGCCCCCAGCGCTGGTGGCCATCCTGATGGGCTTCCAGGCTCAATTCCCCTCTGCCACGGTCCTTCTCTCCCCAGATCCTGGAGCGGCTGAATAAGATGTGCGGGGTCGGAGAGCAAGTGCGCAAGAAGCAGCAGCGCCTGCTGAAGAACATGGATGCCCACAAAGTGATGCTGGATCTGCTGCAAATACCTTACGAGAAGGTGGGTGGGCAGAAGCTGGCTGGTCCCGATGTGCCCAGGGCGAGTGGTGGGGGATGCGGGGACCCTCTGCATGGCTGGGTCCTGCAGCTGGGCAGGGCAGGAGGGCGGCAGCCTGCTCCTGCTCTCCATCCCTTGCCAACTCCGGGCGTTTCTCTTCTCGACCCTTCCTCAGGGTGATGCCAAGATGATGGAGATCCTGAAATTCACCCACCAGTTCCTGCAGAAGTTTTGTGCTGGCAATCAGGAAAACCAGGCTCTGCTGCACAAACACCTCAACTTGTTCCTGACCCCGGGGGTAAGGAGCGGGGACCGAGGGTGGTCGCGGGGAGAGACTTTGGTTCCACTCCTGGGGCTGAGAGCAAGAGATACAAAAGCCAGGAGAGACCCCAGGAGAGGAAGGGTCAGGGCAGGAGGGGACATTGGTCCTTGCAACCCCCCAGCTCGCTCTGCTCCCCTGGTCCCGCAGCTCCTGGAGGCTGAGACGATGCAGCACATCTTCCTCAACAACTACCAGCTCTGCTCGGAGATCAACGAGACCGTGCCGCAGCACTTCATCCACTGCGTGGCCACCCACGGCCGCCACGTGCAGTACCTCGATTTCCTGCACACCATCATCAAGGCCGAGGGCAAGTACGTCAAGAAGTGCCAGGACATGATCATGACCGAGGTGAGCACCTCTCCCCCCAGCCTGTGGGGCGTGAGCGTGGGCTGTAGCAGAGCACGGCTCCTGGGAGGTGTGTGGTTGGCTGCTTCTTGAGGAAGAGCCTTGCCGGCCACGCTGGCTTCTCCCTGGAGCAGGAACCATCTCCAGCAGCTTGATGCAAGGTCCAAGAGCCAGTGAATTTTGGAGTCCCACAAGCTGTGGTTGTTTGATTGCACTGCAAATGCCTGCTTTTCCCTGCAAATGCACGGCCCTTTCACCCTTCACCAGCTGCTGCCTCTCATCGCCCCACTGCAGAGGACACTGTTTCCTGCCTCGCAAGGTTTCTGACCGTCCTCCTCCAGAGTGGTGACCATTTACCCTTCCCTGCAGCTCACCAACGCTGGGGACGACGTAGTGGTTTTCTACAATGACAAGGCTTCACTGTCCACCCTTCTGGAGATGATGACTGCAGCCAGGGATGGGGTGGAGGAGAACAGCCCGCTGATGTACCACATCTCACTGGTGGACCTGCTGGCCGCCTGCGCTGAGGGCAAGAATGTCTACACAGAGATCAAGTGCACGTCCCTGCTGCCCTTGGAGGACGTGGTGCGGGTGGTGACACATGAGGATTGCATCACGGAGGTACGGGGTGCCCAGTGAGGAGGGTGCTGGTGGCTTTGCTCCGATTACCTTCTCCTGACGGTGCCTGTGCCTCTCTCCCTCCCTCCCTGGCAGGTGAAGATGGCCTACGTGAACTTCGTCAACCACTGCTACGTGGACACAGAGGTGGAGATGAAGGAGATCTACACCAGCAACCACATCTGGACTCTCTTTGAGAACTTCACCCTGGACATGGCACAGGTGTGTGGGGAGGCTTGGGTGGGAGGTTCACAGCGGCTGCTGCATCAGATGGGGACAGGTTAGTGTCACTGAGGCTCCCTTGAAGCCGTGAGAGGCAGTTGTGGGGCATGGGCACCGTGGGGACTTGTGTAGCTGCCACGCTATGAGCTGAGGAGCAGTCAGGGTGCTCTGGCGTAGACCCAGGACCTCTATCACCGGCCACATCCCTTGGCTCAGTAAGGTCCCAACAGCGCTGCGTGCCAGGACGCGTGCTCACCTTGCCCTGGTGCCATCAGCATCCTCTCTTCTCACAGATGTGCAAGAAGCGAGAGAAGCGCCTGCCGGATCCCACGCTGGAAAAGTACGTGCTGACGGTGGTGCTGGACACCATCAATGCGTTCTTCAGCTCCCCCTTCTCAGAGAACAGCACCTCGCTGCAGGTAATGAGGTGCTGCATGGCCAAGCTGTGGCCAGGGGAGGAAAGGGGCTCACTGAGCCCCCCTACATACCCCCTGGACACACCTCACACTGCTACATACCTGTGCTCCCTCCTGCAGACCCACCAGACCATTGTGGTGCAGCTTCTCCAGTCCACCATGAGGCTGCTGGAGTGTCCCTGGCTGCAGCAGCAGCACAAGAGCTCGGTGGAAGCCTGCATCCGCACGCTGGCCATGGTCGGTAAGGAGCCGCGCCAGAGGGATGCTCTGTTCCCCACCGACCAGGAGGATGCAGCCGCCCGTGGCCGGCCGCGC